ATGTCAATTTTTTAACTAATATCTTTATTTTGTTTTTTTTGAATTTTTGTGGTTGTAACATTCCGTGCTACATCGTTTTAGTTTTTTTACTCTCGTTTATCGCAAGAGTATAAAAACTAGAACGATGTATAACAGAATAAGGTTATTGCAATCGGGTACTAGACTTTTTTTCCCGTAACTTGGTTCACAGAATGGTCAAAATTAGAAATGGTAAATTTAACTTCAATTCATAATGAATTTAAATTTCATTGCTTCTCTGTCGCACTTTCATTGCGGCTCGGTCTGGAGGTAACGAATACGCCCGGGACGGCAAAGGTCCTCGGTTCGAATCTGACGGCGTTTTTTTTTTCAAACGAAATATTCTGTTCCAAAAAAATTGTATGCTTATGTTCTTTCGCCTCTGTTGCCACATCGTACCTAATTTCATTGTAGATGTTTTTGGAGTTGTGATTTTATTTTGCTGTCTGTAATTTCTTGATTTCATTTATGTATATTTCTTTCGCTTAAAACTTTATTCTACCTTAATGGTTTTGACTTGTTTTATCGGCTAGGTGGCCTATTTTTGACTCATTTGAAGGGAAACATAATTTTTGTGCTCAATGGATCGCTGCAATTCCTAAAATTGTTTAAGAAAGTATTGTTCAAGTTTTTCATGACAACATTTTTTCCGGCTTGTCCGTTTTGTTCTTTTGTTAAGCTTCCTAGGTTTTGGTCTATACTATATGGGCTTAATAGCTTTATATGGCGTCTTTTGACTAGCGAAAAAAATTGCTCACTAGATCGCACAAATTCTCAAAATAATTGTTCAAGTGTTTCATGACAATATTTTTTGGGCTTGATAGGTTTCGCCTTTTTTATATCGGCTCAATGGCCTCATATTGCGTCTTTAGATGAGCCAAAAAAATTATGTGTATGTGCGCGTGTGTTTGTTTTGAGATTGAGGGGGTATTAATAATTTTTAATTAGTCTTTACCCTTGCGATAAGCAAGGTTACTACAATCGAGTAATAGACTTTTTTCCCATAAACAACTTTGTCCACAGACTCATTGGACTCCTGATGTACCTTGCTTCATTGTGAATTTACATTTCGTAGTGTCTCTTGCACACTTAGCCTGGTGTTAACGAATACGCCTGGGACGGCAAACCAATGAAAATTCGGCCTATTAATTGCCTGCTTATGCTTTGTCGGCTTAGTTGCCACATCTAAAAATCATTTGCTTAGCTGTAATCATCTCTCACTGTAGTTGCTTTTAGCATTTTAAAAATCCGGCCAAATCGAAATTTGCTTTTCACATTGGTTGTAATTTTACCAGCTCGATTTGTTCAAACTTTTTTTCGTTTTTTTTTGTCATATTTATCGGCTTAATAATTTTCGGCTTACCTAATATCGACCTGGTGGCCTCTTATTAGGTCATTATGACCGACAGGTTTTTTTGTGCGCATGTGTGTGCTCTGAGGGGATAAGGAACTTAACATTTTGATAAGTTTGGAATTTTTTGATTTTTTTTTCGGCATGAAGGTTTTCTGCTGTAGTATTTTCGGTTTTGTCACCGCTTGTTAATTATAAATTCAAATTGAATCAACCATCTGGCGTAAAGGTAAAACAACAGCTTTAGATGGCAAAGGCTTGCAGTTCAACTCCCCTCGGGCTCTTTTTTTGCAAACTAGTTTTTTTGCTTTTTCGGACTATCGTCCGTGTTATTTTTTGTCGGCTTGGCTCTCGTAGCTCGATGGTTCAGCTTTATTCCAAGTTGCTGTAAGCCCAATGCTTGAGACGAAGCCTGGTAGTTCGGTTCCAGTTGGTTCCTGTTTTTTTTTGCAAATAGAAAATTTTGACTAATTTAGATTAATGTCTGTTTGCTTAGTTCCGCAGAAAATTTGGTCTATACTATTTGTTCAAACTCGTATAGACCAAATACGAGTTTGAACCTCCTCCCCAAGCTCTTTGTAGAGTTTCTAATGCAGGTAATTTTTTGGACATTTTTGTTTGTGATTTCTTTAAGCCGTAAGAATGAATGATACCAAGCTTCAAGGATTATCGACCAATAGCTTTAAATTCTTATCTTTATTCCTTTGACATAGTATGTCGAAAAAATTGGTATTAAAATACAAAATTCTGGAAAATATATACTCTTTTTGAGCGCATTTAGAATTTGTTTTCTAAGTAACTTTCAAGTTTAAATCAGACTAAAAGGCTGAAAAACGATATATGACTCAAGCTCGTAAGTAGTGTCATTTTGGTACCTTCTTTTGCGCTGAAACAAAACTGTTTTTGACCATTAACTGGTAGAACAAGGCTAATTATGTGTAAAGAACCCATGGGTAATCAGAAAGAACCTTAATTGTCAAATGGCATAATACAATTACGATAATTATTAGCGTACAGAGTTTCAGAATTTTTCAATCCATCGCTGAGATACAATTCTTTGATCCTAATTTTACGAACTTTCGATACTGAATTTTACGGATTAATTTGTCTTAGCATATGTAATCTCTCACGCGATGTATTCTGTACTGGCTCCTTATTGATAAATTGAAGAACTAACAATGCTTCAGGTTAATTTTATTAAATAGTTGTTAGGTTTTTTTAAACTTTTTTGCAAAAAGAAATCTGATGTGCACTGAAAACTTTTTTTCGAAGACTCATGGTCGGTTCTATACGATGGTCACTGCTAATTTGAAAATACTTAAATTGGATCAATTGAGCAATCTCTCCCCTCCCCTCCCCTCCCCTCCCCCCACCTTAATGCCCAATTGAGCTATCTGCCCCCTCAAACAAAAATTAGAAGATCCTACAAAAAGACGTCAGCAAATAATGCAAGTAGATGGTTTATGTTTGTTTTATATGAGTGTCGCGCAGCATTTTGAAAAAGACAAATTCGAATTTCAAAATAATTTTGTTTGCAAATTTTTGTTTGGTCACTATTGCCTCATCGAGGAAAGCGAATTAACAGGGTTGATGCTCTGGCCTTGTATCTGAATACCAAAAACTGTTATCCGCAGCACTTAAATAATGTACACAACAGCTTTTTATCATTCAGGACAGAAAAAAGTCGCTTATGTGCCTCAGTCTTTTTTCACTCTGAATTCAATTTTTGAGCTTTGTTATTGTAAATTTTGGCGTTCCACATTCTTTGTGTATCTGGTTCATGATTTCATATCTTTCAAACTATTTTCAAATGGTTATAAATATGTCTCAAGTACCTATTGAGTTATCACACCCCCCCCCCACCGTGAGAATAATGGGATGAGGGGAATATTGCGCAATTGATAACTTAAATTGATCGCACATTTCTAATACCCTAAAAAATTTCACTGCGTTAACGACTTAGCCTCTGTATAATTTTTAAATTTTTTTGGTTTTTTTTTCGGCTTGTTAAGCTTCGACCTATTTCATATCGACTTGATGGTCGCATATTTTTCATGTGACGAGCAAAAAAAGTGTATGTATTTTGAGGCTGAGGGGGAATTGTTAAATTTTCATAAGTCTTGATGATTTTTTTGCGGCTTAAAGGGTTTCTGCTAAGGTACTTTCGGCTTCGTTACCACTTGGTAAATTTTGGATGCGAATTTTTATTCTATTGTCTTGGCATATTTTTGCGGCTTTCTGGTTATGAATGCACAGATCCTCTTAGTGTACGAGATACGACCCTTTTTTTGATTTTTTTCAAAAATTTTCAGAAAACTCAATTTACAAAATAGTTTGCAAAACTTGAAATTCCCAGCCCTGTAGTTGGGTGCTGTCAGATTATTCTCAAGGATTGCCAACTTTCCCTCCAAATTTGACTGCTCAAATCTTTGTAGTTTTTGAGATATGTTGCGAACTGTAAAGTTACTCTCAGCAGTTTCAGGATCCAAATCTTGCGTCCAAATGCGACTGCTCAAATGGTCTTTGTTATAGTCATATGACGTTTTTTCAAAAATGTTCAGAAAATTTAGACTTAAAATGTTGCTTTCAAGCTTTGTAATTCCCAACACTTTAGTTGGGTAGCTGTCAGAATACTATCGGGGTTTGCAACTCTCACTTCCAATATTGACTTATCAAATCTTTGTAGTTTTCGAGATATGACATTTTTTTGTGATTTTCAGAAAGTAAGTTTTTTGTAAAGTTTTTTTAATCAAATTTTAATTGAAGTTTGAAGCCCCCTCCCTTGTAATGGGGGGGGGGGGGTTGAGCTATCAGAGTATTCTCAGGGGTGACGAATCAAGCCTTCAAATATTACTGCTCAAATCTTTAATTTTGAGAAATGACGTTTTTTGCGATTTTTTCAAAAAAGTTTCAGAAAACTTAAATTTAATTTTTTTTCAAAATTTGAAACTATCGACCCTTTAGTTGGGGGCTGTCAGAGTATTCACCACGTGGGGTGCGAATCTCACCGCCACATATGACTGCTCAATTTTTTGTAGTTATCGAGATGTGACGTTTTCATGGTTTTTCAATTTTTTTTTTCGAAAACTTAAATATAAAAAGTTTTTCAAAATTGGAAATTCCCAACCCTGTAAATGGGTACTGTGAGAGTACTCTCAGGAGTTGCAAATTTTGTTTCCAAATGCGACTGCTCAAATGATGTTTGTTTCCCAATTGTGACGTTTTTTATGTAATTTTAGATTTTTTCGAAGAACTTAGATCTAAAAAAAACTTTAAAAATTTTATGGTATTTCTAAATTTGTATTAAAAAATCTAACCGAAAAAAACTTAACAAAATTTGAAATTCCGAACCCTGTTATTGGATGCTTTCAGAGTACACTAAAACGTTGCTGATTGTTTCTCCAATATATGCGGTTTTTTATGAGACTCAAAAGTTCGAAGGAGGTGCGATACACGCTGGTATCTAATGAAATGGTGAAAAAAGTTTTTTATCAAGCTGTATCTTTTGAAAAATGTGGCTTTTTCGTAAAATGTATCAATTATTGAACTTTCCTAATAAGAAGTCATCTGTCATAAATTGCGTACACTGATACTTAGCTTCGATGATTGGTAAGTAAACATGACTTTTACAGATAAGTCATGATTGTACGCCTCTGTATTAGTCACTCTTAGTTGAAATTAGCCTAAGGCGGCGTACCGTAACCCAGCTTGTTGCAAACTTAAACTAAGCGTCAATTTTAAAATTGCCCCCCAAACTAAAGTTTCTTATTGTTTCAATTTATTCGAAAGCAAGAACACTCGAAGATGTCTGGTGGTTGTGAAAAACTACACATTGAGACTCCCTTGGTGAGATCCAACGCGCTGTCCAAGGAGAATGGGTTCGAAGTACTATTGAAATTAGAGAATATACAACTGCCTGGTTCCTTCAAAATTAGAGGAATTGGTCACATGTGCCAGAAGTCCCTGGATGAAAATCGAAAGGTGAGTTGTTGTCACGGTACGCATAGTGGTCCTTTAGAAGTCCGTCCCTACCTACCACATTAGAAAAAAAAATTATCGCAGACCCTTTCAACCTATTGGTACAATTTTTGGGTAAAGCTTCACAGTTGACCTACAGTCGAATCTATACAGTCGTAACCTTCTGTTAAAGCAAGTGTTTAGATCTATCCCTTAAAACTGCGTAATTGTGGGAGCTCGTGAAAGCTTTCGAGGTATATTTACACTAAAGGTCAAAATTAAGCTCAAATTCAAAGTTTTAGTCTTTAAAATGCCTGTTTTTAATGTCCATCTTAATTTTTTGCATAGAACAGAGCAAATGACCAGAGCTTCTCTCTATGAAACTATCAATATTTGATTTTAATGACTTATCAATGTAATCCGGGTCTAGAAATGCCAGTTTTCCTCTTCTGCTCTAAGTTTTCTTAGTTCGCGTGAAAAGTAAGAAACATGCGAGTTCAGTAAGGTTTTCATACTGATTGTTTCCATTTTCTCGCTGAGAATGTTTCACATCGCTGGAACAGTTTTTTTGCTCCGCTTATTTAAGAAAGAATTCACTACGATGCAAAACTTAGTGCAGAAGAGGAAAACTGGCAATTCCAGACCCGGATTACATTGATAAGTCATTAAAACCAAATATTGATAGTTCCATAGAGAGAAGCTCTGGTCATTTGCTCTTGGTCTATGCAACAGTTTTACTGATTTTTGAAGAAAATGTCTAAGATGGACTTCGAAAACAGGCATTTTAGAGAGTAAAGTCTTGAATTTGCGCTTAAATTTGTCCACTACAGTATATAGTGCTTTCTTTCAAATAGTGCTTTTGAAGATTACTGCATGAGCAGTATTAAAAATTGAAAGCTAGCTATCTCAACAACCTGTGCAAATATTTGGTTTTAGCGACTGGGTCAAAAGTTGACAGTTTTTTCCGTCTGCGGTAATTTTTCTAGTGGAGTGAAGAATTGCTCAAAACTTCTTTCAAAACGTTGCTCAAAACGGTTTTTTTCTTGCACTTACATATTTAATAATATCGTTCACTTGTTCCATCCACAATCAGTTTTTTTACTGAAAAAGTTGATGCAACAATTAAGTGTTTGAGGTGTTTCTCTCTCTCTTTCAATTAGCGACACTACAAAGCGACTTTGGTCTAGCATAAACTCGTTAGAAAATGCACTCCTCTATCGAAATATCACCAGAAGTATAAATTTGTGCTGTTTTTGCGTTATTTAGAATATTTTTTAAGGGAGTAGGACAGTTGAATTTTTTGTCAAAAGAAGTTTTTAAGCGTCTTTTGGCCCAGGAGCTAACCACTATTGTTTAATTATTTTTTTTTATAACCATCGGTCCTTTTCGATGCAGAACATCCGTGGGGGAGGTAGATGTTATCAGTATCGCCGTAGCCAGTCCTACTTCAAGCATGCGCTGATGCTACTGCTCTTTATTCATGAATGGCGGTTGTTTTTGTACAAGTGGCATTCGTCATTTTTGGTAGATATAGCGGTTAGCTCCTTGGCCAAATGCGCTCATCGATTTTTTCAGTTTTTAAAGTAATTCATTGTGTTTTAGGCGGATTGTTTTGTCTGCTCATCAGGTTAGTCGAACAATCGTTTTTAGAAACTAAATTTTTCTGGGTAGTGCTAAAATAACAGTGATCAGCAAACCGGAAGAAACAAAATTTCAAACAGTTGAGCTAACCATTATCAAAAGACAAAATGTTCTTTACCCCAAATAATTGGGTGATTTAACCTTTTTTTAAATCAATTAGCTGAAGCATTTAAATGTTCTTTCAGAGCTCGAAGCAAAGAAGATGTCTGAAAGTTTTCAAAAAAACGTACTTTGTCTGAAATTCAATACTGTGTTTTAGGGGGTAACGCAGGCTTGGCTGCCAGTTATGCTGGGACGAGACTGAACAAACCAGTGCATGTGTTCGTGCCTACTTCTACTTCTCAATTTGTGCTGGACCAGTTTAAACTCTACTCCTGCAGTCAAGTTCATGTCCACGGAAGTGTGAGCATATACAATTGTCTGAAGTTTTATATGCCCCCCCCCCCCAATTTGTGCTGATTTTTTGTTGCCTACTAGGTGTGGAATGAGGCGAATGAGAAGGCGAAGGAGTTCTGTGGGACTGTGAATGGAATTATGGTTCCTCCTTATGACCATCCCTACATCTGGTGAGTCACCTGTCAGTTTTGATGGTAGGTTATCTGCTTACTCATCAATGAAACAGGTGGTTCGTACACCTAGCTCATCCGATAATAAATGAAATTAAGTCGTGTACTCCTGCAAAACGGAGTTGTTTTTCCTACAAAAACTTAATTTGGTTTAGTTTTGCTTCTGCAAATCGCAGAGGATCTATCAAGGGAGTGCAGCCCCCTACTCTTAGTGCAGCCTTTCTATGAAAGCCGTACAATTGTTATGTTAATGTTATTTGGCGCTTTCGATTAGCAAGCGTATCAAATAGAAGTATAGACTTTTTTTCATGCAAAATACTTGTTTAGCAAAACCATTGATTCATTTCGTCGGCTCTTTCGTCGAATCTCTTATTTCGTCAACCTACGAAATTTATTTGTTTATTTTTTTATTTTGGTTTAATTTAATAGCATTTTCGATAAACTTCTCTTTTTTAAAGCTTGTAATACTTTATAGTATATCGGCTTAATTAAATCATTGTATGTTAACTCATTTTCATTTGAAGAAAGTAGGATAACGAATATTCTTGAAAACCTGGATGTATCGAAAGCCACTGGACCAGATCAGATACCAGCAGCCGCCTTGAAAAAACTTGGACGTAGCCTTGCCCATTCAATGCCCCAAGTTTTCTACAAAGGCCAGCAAATAGCTGTTTTTCCTTGCGCCTGGAAGTAGGTTCATCTGAAAAAAAATACAAAGAAAATATCGAAAACTACAGCCCAATATCACGTTTCTCCTTAATATCAAAAGTGCTTGGAAAAAGTATGTTTCTCGACCTCTATGAGTTTGCGAAGTGAACTGAATAAAGTCCAGCACTGGTTAAGAAAAAAAATCGATATTGTGTGCAGTGTTGGCTGATTTAAATCAATTGATTTAAATCAACAGTAAAAATCCGATTTAAATCAAGATTTAAATCAAAGCCTTTATGGTTGATTTATTTCTAGTGTAAATTGAAATTTTGTATTTCTCGTTTTTATATTAAGCGGAAGCATCAATCCCTCTAGCGGTTGAGACAGCAATTTGAATACACGTTAAATTCACGGCGGACCTGGAGAGAATTTTTTCAACCTACAGTTGGGTACATTCCAAGGAGCGCAATCGCCTAGGAGTGGAAAAATCAGCAAAGCTGGTTTTCGTTTTGAAAACCCTAAACATGTCCCGATGATTGTGAAGTATTATATTATGCTTTCAAAGTGTATCATCTGCAATTATGAAATGTTGTGCAGTTAAAATGTTCTCCAGCTTACACTGTAGGTGACTTTACACTGTAGGTGACTTTACACTGTAGGTGACTTTGATTTAAATCAAAAAAATCCGATTTAAATCAAAAAAATCCGATTTTTTGATTTTTTGAATAAAAATCCGATTTTTTTCCAACACTGATTGTGTGATTCTTGAGTTATTTCTGCGCTTTCTTGACGACATCTACCAAGGAATAGAAAGTCAAAGTGATATTGAAGTAATTTATACTTTGAAAAAGCGTTCGATAAGGTCGACCACGGTGTTCGTTTGTCGAAGCTTTTTCTTCTTGGCGCGCGTGGCAAATTGTTAAAATTGATATTGTCATAATTAGAAAAACGAATATTTCGCGTCAAAGTATATGACGTCCTGTCTAGCCAGCGAACAATATCAAGTGTTGCAAGGCTGCAAGGCTCGATTCTTGCTCCTCTTTTTTTCCTCGTGGTAAATAATGATTCTCATCTTCATAAAAGTTATGCAGATAACTTAATTGCGACCTGCAGTTTTCACTATTTTCTTTCTTATTAAAATCATTTTTATGGCATCACCAACTCCAAGTTATGCTTCCATCTCAGCGTTCACTGGAGAAGCTGACATAGGATGATTCAATTTCGATTGACTCTTACGAGTCAATATCATTGTGGCCAGCATACTGGAAGCACAAATCAGCAATCTCAGTTCTTACAACTCTATCTAGTTGGAAAAGCACTCAACTTTGATTCAAATCTTTACGAAGCTGCGCGAAATGGTCTCGAACAATCTTTTGAGAAATTGCAAATCCGATATGCTGGACCTGACCAAATTCAAGAAAATCATTTTAAATCCGAGATTGAGGTTGCGCAGGATTTTTAAACTGATTTGAATAGTCTAGAAGCTTGGCTATTTGAGTTGACTTCGACGCAGGAGTAACCTTTAGCAGATGAGCGAGCAAAACAGGCGAGTAAAAGATGAATTCGTTTGCGGCGAGAACACTAAAATGTCGAATACGGAAATGGTCTGAGAACACGAAAATGCGACGGTCGAATCTCTCTGCTCTATTATTCGCTGAAATATTCAAGTTGAAAGAATCGAAATTGACGAGAAGACAAATTGTGCAATTCAGCCTTCCAAACTGATGGCAACAATTGCTCTGAAGACAACGAAATTTGGCTTATCTCTGCAAATTCATCATATACTGGCTGCGCAGAGAGCAGTCAAAATTTTGACTCATTTTAAACGATAGATATAATCTCAATCCCGGCATCGCAGAAAATGAAGGGTATTACACTGGGAATGAGAGCAAACACGATCCATCGAATATCGATGAACGGGCGGTTTACTAAGATATTGACTACTATCAAGGTAGTCGGGAAGATATTTCTGAATTTGAAGACCAGGAGGGGAATCAAATTTCTGATCAAGAATGACTTGAGACAGTCGAAGATAACTTTGCAATTTGGACTAATAAAAGTCCGTCGTTTTGCAAGTTGTGCAGCAGCGAAATTCAGTCTTCTGTTCTACAGTTAAAGGGAAATACTTAATGGGGCTTTTATGTTGCATACATCTAAAAAGGTATATAGTTGGTGCCTTTTATATCAGTCAGAAAAACAATCAGAGTTTTAGTTGCAGTTATCAAGTTCTATTTGCAGTTACTGAGTTCTAGTTGCAGTTAGAGACTTGGGTCTCCCTCTTGATTTTATATCGAACCTATTGTTTCTGACAATACGTAACTCTGACGGTTTAGAGAAAAAATGTTCGTATTGTTAAATAATCTTTTATTAGTGAATTTTCTGTGGTTTATACTGGCCACTCTTCTCATCGCCTTAACTCTAAAACTACAAAAATGCAACTCCTAAATTTGTTTCTCGTTTCTTTTTAAGAGTCGATGAACGTAGTTCAGACTAATATATAGGTTGCGATTAATTTTTTTTTCAGGAAAATCTTGAAATTTGTTCTTCACGAATCTACTTTTTCGTGCTTTGACTTCTGATTTCTTTTCAAGTTCATTTCACTTCCTTTTTAAAAGAAAGAGTAACTCCCCTATCGAACAGCGAAACAGCGAAAGTGTAAATTTCACGAAAAACTTGTTCGACTTGTAGTTTCGAAAGTGGAAAAATTTTACCTACTGATCCAGTTTTCTCAATTTTGGTTAATTTTTTTATCAAAAAATTGCAATCATAAATTGTTGTGGAGTTTCAAAGAGCTTTAAGGTCATCTTTTTTGCTTCAAGTTTGAAAGTTGATGTTTCTCAAAAAATTGAGCCAGTTTTTTTTTCTGCTCACTTGCGGTGATTGACTCTTTTGCAACTGTCTGTTGGCTATTTTCATTTTTTTTTGCAAAACAAATGTGATCGGAATGTTATGTTATACTTGCACCGCAATCGAATTTTCTTGAAATTGTGAGAAATGCGTGGAGCACTTAAGATGTTTTGATGGAAAAATTTTAATCTCTGCCTTCCAATCTGTCACAAAAATCTTATTTCTGGGTTAGAATATTTCAATTTAATAAATGCAGCTAAAGCAAATAGTTCTCAATAATTTGCAAAAATTAAAAAATGCTAATAAGCAATGTCAAGGTTTCGTTGCGTCTGTCATGAATATACTCTATCTGTGGTTTATTTTCAGCAAAACTCTTTAATTAATGAAAGGAGGGCAAATTACGCTCTCTTATTAAAAATTGAAGTGCGCGTTTTTTGGGGGATTTTTATTTTCTTTTTGTTTTGAAGTTGGCTCAAATTCAATATATGAATGGTGGGCAAGTTACGCTCTCATATAAAGAAGGGAAGTGGAGCTTATTATGCATGAAAATTTCAATAAATAAGGTTCTTTAAATTCAAAGAGCAACTCTCTAGCAGTCTCTTTTTAAGTTTCATTTGAAGTTGGCTTCAAATCTAATTTATGAAAAGAGGGCAAATTACACTCTTATATTAAAAATTGGAGATGGCGCTAAGTGGAGAGTAATATGCAGGAAAAGCGTGTCAATCAAAAATATTGTTTTTAAATTCTGTAGTATGTGCTATGAGTCTCAACAATAGAAAAGAATAGAAAAGAAACGCTGTTTTTTGGATTTGTGTGAGTTCATTAACGTTTTTCCAACTTTGTGACTGTTTTTTTCAAAATTGTTTTTGCTGAAATTGAGTCAACTCCTAGTTTTAGTGTAAATTTTGTGTAAGAGTTAATTAAGAGGCAATAGTTTAAAAAGGTTTGGTTTGTTTTGCTGAAGGTTGCATTCGTTAAATATGAAATATTTCAAGAAACAAGTTGTCAAAAAGCAATAATAAACATAATAGTCATTTTCTTCAGCAAAAAAAAACTTGTTTCAAAATTTTGGCTGAAATGTCAATAAATCTAAAATTCAGGCATTGCTTGAAAGATTGTGCTTTAAAAAGACTGTTTATTGGAAAGTGGGATGATATTTTCTGTCTACCGTCTGAATGGTCGCAAGTGTTCAAGCGTTTTTGTTTTCACGCAGATTATTGATTAGTTCAGCAGTGTAACATGCAAAATGGACTGTTGTTTTTTCCAGGGAAGGAAACTCCACAATCGTAGACGAGTTAGAACAGCAGCTAGGACCCGATAGATTGCCTAGCTGTATCGTAGTGTCGGTGGGGGGAGGGGGTCTCTTATTGGGCGTGATGGAGGGGGTGAAGAGACGACCCAAATGGGGGAAAATTCCCCTGGTTGCTGTGGAGACGGAGGGCGCAGACTGTTTCTCGCAGAGTGTGAAACAAGGAAAATCTATGCGGCTGGCCACAATCTCGAGGTCAGTGTTTTCTCATGTAATCATGCCCGTTTTTAGATGTCTTTATTGGAGTAAAAAAAATAGCTCAATTGATCCATGCAGTAATTTTTGCTTCTGAACATTTCGATTTTTGTACATTATGTTGATTTTTTACGGATGTTTTCAATTCATCGTGCACCGAAGGAACAATAAAATAGATGCCCTCACACATTGCGTTATGATAGATTTAGGGTTATTTTTAATGCTTAGTATTTTAAAGATTTGTTGTCTTGTGTTTTGATCGTTTTAATTTCCGACAAAAAATCACAAAAGTTGTCGTTTGGTTTTTCAATTAAAATATAGTGATTTTGCTATGATCAAACTATGAAGACCCCTAACATTTTAGTTCGCGTATCCTTACCAGGCCAAACTGTGCGCTGAATTAGCGCACAATTTTGTGTCTGTATTTTCCTGGATTCCAGAGACAAGTCTTTAAACATGTTAAAGTTTTGTCGGAACGATCAAAGAGAATGAAAGAACAGCATAAAAACAAAGGGAGCTTCCTTGTTACAGAATACGCTTACAATTCACAACATACACAGTTTGGCCTCGTAATAATCCTGTAAGCGTTATTGAGAAATCAATTGATTGTTATAAATAGTTCAGGGTATGTTTCAATACACTTTTCGAAACAAAACTTTCATTTTTGCAACACGGATCTTGTAAGTGAAAGCCACAAGTCATGGCTAACCTCTAGACCAACTGGGATATGATCGGGAGTCCTTATTTTTGTCCCAATAAAGTGAACGCCTAATTGGCACGTTTTCTATTCAAAGATGAACTTGCATAAGTTTTCAACTATGGTCGATACATGTAGTTTCTCAACATTTTGTGTTTGTTTATCCTATACAACTTCAAAGAACTCATTTGAGCGTAATAGTTATTCGGAAGAAAAAATCAATTTAAAAAATTAATAGAGTTTCCAGTCCGGGAGTCGAACCCGGGCCTTGTGGGTGAAAGCCACAAGTCCTAACCGCTAGACCAACTGGGATATGAACGTGAATCCTTATTTTTGTCCCAAAAAAGTGAACGCCTAATTGGCACGTTTTCTATTCAAAGATGAATCTGCACAAGTTTTCAACTATGGTCGATATATGTAGTTTCTAAACATTTTGTGTTTGTGTATCCTATACAACTTCAAAGATCTCATTTGAGCGTAATAGTTATTCGGAAGAAAAATCAATTTAAAAAAGTAGTAGATTCCGCAGTCTGGGAGTCGAACTTGGCCCTTGTGGGTGAAAGCCACAAATCCTAATCGCTAGACCAACTGGGATATGATCGTGATTCCTTATTTTTTTTCCCAATAAAGTGAACATCTAATTGGCACGTTTTCTATTCAAAGATGAACTTGCACAAGTTTTCAACTATGGTCGATCCTTGTAATTTCTCAACGTTTTTGTGTTCATGTGTCCTATACAACTTCAAAGAACTCATTTGAGCGTAAAAGTTATTCGGAAGAAAAAATCAATTGAAAAAAGTAATAGATTTCCCAGTCCGGGAGTCGAACCCTGGACTTGTGGGTGAAAGCCACAAATCGTAACCGCTAGACCAACGGGGATATGATCGTGAGTCCTTATTTTTGTCCCAAAAAGTGAACGCCTAATTGGCACGTTTTCTATTCAAAGATGAACTTGCACAAATTTTCTACTATGATCAAGCCAGGTAGTTTGTTAACATCTTGTGTTCGTGTGTCCTATACAACTTCAAAAATCTCATTTTAGCGTAATAGTAATTCGGAAAGAAATCAATTTAAAAAATACTAGATTTCCCAGTCCGGGAGTCCAACACGGGCCTTGTGGGTGCAAGCCAAAAATCGTAACCACTAGACCAACTGGGATATGAACTCGGTTTCTATTTTTTAATCCCAAGAAACTGAACGCCTAATTGGCACGTTTTCTATTCAAAGATGAAATTGCACAAATTTTCTACTATGATCAAGCCAGGTAGTTTGTTAACATCTTGTGTTCGTGTATCCTATACAACTTCAAAAAACTCAATTGAGCGTAAAGTTATTCGGAAAAAATCAATTTAAAAAAATTACTTGATTTCCTAGTCCGGGAGTCGAACCCGGTTATTGTGGGTGAAAGCCATAAATCCTAACCACTAGACCAACTGGGATATGCAACCGTGTTCTGGTTTTTGTCCCAATAAAATGAACGCCTAATTGGCACGTTTTCTATTCACAGATGAACTTGCACAAGTTTTCAACTATGGTCGATCCATGTAGTTTCTCAACATTTTGTGTTTGTGTATCCTATACAACTTCAAAGATCTCATTTGAGCGTAATTGTTGTTCGGAAGAAAAAGTCAATTTAAAGAAGTAATAGATTTCCCAGTCCGGGAGTCGAACCCGGGACTTGTGGGTGAAAGCCACAAATACTAACCGCTAGACCAACTGTGATATGATCCTGAGTTCTTATTTTGTCCCAATAAAGTGAACGCCTATTTGGTACGTTTTGCTATTCAAAGATGAAGTTGAACAAGTTTTCTACTATCGTCAATCCATGTAATTTCTCAACGTTTTTTTGTACGTGTATCCTATACAACTTCAAAGAACTCATTTGAGCGTAAAAGTTATTCGGAAGAAAAAGTCAATTTAAAAAAAGTAATAGATTTCCCAGTCCGGGAGTCGAACCCTGGACTTGTGTATGAAAGCCACAAATCCTAAGCGCTAGACCAACTGGGATATGATCGTGAGTCCTTATTTTTGTCCCAATAAAGTAAACGCCTAATTGGCACGTTTTCTATTCAAAGATGAACTTGCACAAATTTTCTACTATGATCGAGCCAGGTAGTTTGTGAACATCTTGTGTTCGTGTATCCTATACAACTTCAAAAATCTCATTTGAGCGTAATAGTAATTCGGAAAGAAATCAATTTTAAAAAATCGTAGATTTCCCAGTCCGGGAGTCGAACACGGGCCTTGTGTGTGAAAGCCAAAAATCCTAACCACTAGACCAACTGGGATATGAACCCGTCTTTTAATTTTTGTCCCAAGAAAGTGAACGCCTAATTAGCACGTTTTCTATTCAAAGATGAACTTGCACAAATTTTCAACAAAAGTCGATCCATGTAGTTTCTCAACATTTTGTGTGTGTGTACCCTATACAACTTCAAAGATATCATTTGAGCGTAATAGTTATTCGGAAGAAAAAATCAATTCAAAAAAGAATAGATTTCGCAGTCCAGGAGTCGAACCCGGTCCTCTGGGGTGGAAGCCTTAAATACTAACCGCTACACCAACTGGGACATGATCCTGAGTTCTTATTTTGTCCCAATAAAGTGAACGCCTATTTGGTACGTTTTGGTATGTTAAATATGAAGTTGAACAAGTTTTCTACTATCGTCAATCCATGTAATTTCTCAACGTTTTTGTGCTCGTGTATCCTATACAACTTCAAAAATCTCATTTGATCGTAATAGTAATTCGGAAAGAAATCAATTTAGAAAATACTAGATTTCCCAGTCCGGGAGTCGAATCCGGGCCTTGTGGGTGAAAGCCACAATTCCTAGCCGCTAGACGAACTGGGATATGATCGTGAGTCCTTATTTTTGTCCCAATAAAAGGAACGCCTAAATGGCACGTTTTCTATTCAAAGATGAACTTGCAAACATTTTCTACTATGATCGAGCCAGGTAGTTTCTTAACATTTTCTGTTCGTGTATCCTATACAACTTCAAAAAATTAATTGAGCATAATAGTTATTCGGAAGAAAAAATCAATTCAAAAAAGAATAGATTTTGCAGTCCAGGAGTCGAACCCGGGCCTCTGGGGTGGAAGCCTTAAATACTAACCGCTACACCAACTGGGACATGATCCTGAGTTCTTATTTTGTCCCAATAAAGTGAACGCCTATTTGGTACTTTTTGGTATGTTAAAGATGAAGTTGAACAAGTTTTCTACTATCGTCAATTCATGTAATTTCTCAACGTTTTTGTGCTCGTGTATCCTATACAACTTCAAAAATCTCATTTGATCGTAATAGTAATTCGGAAAGAAATCAATTTAAAAAAGTAATAGATTGCCCAGTCCGGGAGTCGAATCCGGGCCTTGTGGGTGAAAGCCACAATTCCTAGCCGCTAGACGAACTGGGATATGATCGTGAGTCCTTATTTTTGTCCCAATAAAGTGAACGCCTAAATGGCACGTTTTCTATTCAAAGATGAACTTGCAAAAATTTTCTACTATGATCGAGCCAGGTAGTTTCTTAACATTTTCTGTTCGTGTATCCTATACAACTTCAAAAAATCAATTGAGCATAATAGTTATTCGGAAGAAAAAATCAATTCAAAAAAGAATAGATTTCGCAGTCCAGGAGTCGAACCCGGGCCTCTGGGGTGGAATCCTTAAATACTAACCGCTACACCAACTGGGACATGATCCTGAGTTCTTATTTTGTACCAATAAAGTGAACGCCTTTTTGGTACGTTTTGGTATGTTAAAGATGAAGTTGAACAAGTTTTCTACTATCGTCAATCCATGTAATTTCTCAACGTTTTTGTGCTCGTGTATCCTATACAACTTCAAAAATCTCATTTGATCGTAATAGTAATTCGGAAAATCAATTTAGAAAATACTAGATTTCCCAGTCCGGGATTCGAACCCGGGCCTTGTGGGTGAAAGCCTCAAATCCTAACCGCTAGACCAACTGGGATATGATTTTGAGTCTTTATTTCTGTCCCAAAAAGTGAACGCCTACTTGGCACGTTTTCTATTCAAAGATGAACTTGCGCAAGTTTTCAACTATGGTCGATCCATGTAGTTTCTCAACATTTTTTTTTGTGTATCCTATACAACTTCAAAGATCTCATTTGAGCGTAATAATTATTCGGAAGAAAAATCAATTTAAAAAAGTAATAGATTGCCCAGTCCGGGAGTCGAACCCGCGCCTTGTGGGTGAAAGCCACAATTCCTAGCCGCTAGACGAACTGGGATATGATCGTTAGTCCTTATTTTTGTCCCAATAAAGTGAACGCCTAAA